AAACCTGTCTATGTCTCTGAAAGGGTGGTCATTAAAGGGGATTCTTGGACTAGCTGAATAGACTATCCTGTACAGGACTTGCTGCTGCGATGATAACAGGAAGGAATAAACGCAATTACTGCATTGTAAGTTTTTGAAAGCTGAAATCTGAGTCCACCTCCTCTGTTTAAGGTTGTTTTTTCTTTCTTAACACAGATGGCTTCCTTCACGCCCCTCTCAAACCACCTATTTTCTTTATCCAAAATGTGAACATTCTGGTCCTTTGTCCATAAGGTGTAGATGTACCGCAGAGTCTTGTCCAGAGAGGTAGCCCTACTGTATAATCCAAAATGCTGCAGCCAGAGTTCTGATGAAAATGAAAAAGAGAGATCATATCTCTCCTATCCTGGCTTCTCTTCATTGGCTTCCTGTTAAATCCAGAATAGAATTTAAAATCCTCCTTCTCACATATAAAGCCTTAAATGGCCAAGCTCCATCTGATATCAGAGATCTGATTGTTCCTTATGTTCCTAACAGAGCACTTCGCTCTCAATCTGCAGGTTTACTAGTGGTTCCTAGAATTTCTAAAAGTAGAATGGGAGGCAGATCTTTTAGTTATCAGGCTCCTCTCCTGTGGAACCAACTACCAGTTTTAGTCCGTGAGGCAGACACCCTGTCTACTTTTAAGGCTAGGCTTAAAACTTTCCTTTTTGATAAAGCTTATAGTTAGAGTGGCTCAGGTTATCCTGAGCTATCTCTATAGTTATGCTGCTATAGGCTTAGACTGCTGGAGGACATAGGGACCCCCATTTCATCATTCTGCTTCATTCTATCTCTATTCTCCCACTCTGCAGAATCTGTTAGTTCAATCTCTAACGTTCTGCTCTCTCTGCTTTTTCTCATAGTAGCTTCATCTGGTCTGTTCCTGTTTGGCTGTGACTCCATCCTGGAGAGAAATATCAGCTGTGCTGCTGCCATCAACACCTTTGGTTATAGGTGTTGGAGATCAGCCTGTTTTTCAGTGTAGTCCTGTTTCTCTGACTGTGACTGGCTGGGGAAACGACTTCTTGAGGCCATGCAGATTGTTGCCATTGGTGCGTACTTAAGGCTGGTTTAGGCTCAGAAACCAGGTCGTCTGTGTGTGTGTCGCAGTTGACGCAGACACACAATGTGTGTACAAATAGACATTTTGTTAAGTACAGCTCTCTAGACTTGTTCATCTTTTAAAGTACAACCTTGATAAAGGTAAGCAGCAGTGATAAAAACATTGTGATGAAAAAAAACACGGTGGTGAAGAAAAAGTTATGTAAACATATGACTGTATAGTTATAGTTTCAACATTCAGGTTTTTTTTTCTTTATAACTTATTCTATGTTGCAGAATCTTCTGGTCCTGCATTGAATGCTGTGAAGCCTCTTCCCAGAGGGCAGCAGGGAGAACAGTCCATGGTGGGGGGTGAGGGTTCACAGATGATGTCATGGGCTCGGGACACGCAGCTCTGGGATGAAATGTATTTAATGGAGGGAAGAGGAGCCCCCATGATCCTCTCTGCTGTTCTTACCACTCTTCTCACTTGTACTAATGGTATAAGTATACTTATATACTTATAGTTCTTTGTTAGCCCGCAATATCTGATACTGGTCTATGTCTCTGAAAGGGAATTGTTGGCCTAGCTGAAGAGGTGAGATATCCTGGTCCCCTGTATGGGGGTGGGGGTTTCAATGATAGCGGGAAGAAATCAACTCTCTTGCTGCATTGTAGGTTTTTGAAAGCTGAAGGCTTTATTTTTTGGTCCACTCTATAAAGCCTGGAACTCAGTATCAGTATATGTAAATATTACTACTACGCAGAACAAATGTTGCTAAAAGTACAGTGGACATTCTTTTCAGGAAAATAACTCAAAGCTAAAAGATAATTTACAACAGATGTATAAAAATATGTGTTTATTTACTGGTTTAATTAATAGATTTATTCTGACTACAAATGAATATATTTGAGACGTCTGAAAACTACGCATTCAGTCAAGCAAATAAATGTTAAAATTGTCTGCCGTAGAAATAAACGCCTGAATGGACGTGGAAGTGACGTAAGCGTGGAGCAGCCAATCCCGCGTCGCGCCGTTGAGCACGCGGTAAAAACAAAGCTAGCAAAAGGCGGAAACGAAAATACAAGCGACAGAAGGTGCATGGCGCGTGTTTTGAAGCTGCTTATGGAGAAATGTCTTGGGCCGTGAGTAGTGAGGAAACAGGAAGCGATTCTTGTGGGATGGAAGAGGGAAATAGTGACAATGAAGGTTGGAAGATAGCAACATCAAAAAATGAGAAAAAGCGGAAAAAACAGAGATCAGTTCAAGGGGAATCTAGTTCAGAACAATCCAGTGATGATCATTCCATACATTCCACAGCACAACAAAATGAATTCAAAGTCATATTCAAAGTCGTTAATCAGGCAGACTCTTTTACAAATTGGAATCCGGTTCACTTAACAAAAACCATCAATAAACTTGTCGGAGAAGTCAGAGGTGCCAGAATTCTGTACAGTGGAGACCTGCTAATTATTTGCAGAGACAGCGCCCAGCAAGGCAAAGCAATACGGATCAACAAAATTGACGGGATAAGAGTTCAGTGCAGCTTAATGGAGAACAAAAAGTTCAGCAGGGGAGTCATTGGAGGAGTTCCTCTAAAAATTTCTGAAAAAGAGATTCTGGAAAACATAAGAGGTGCAAAAGTAAAAGAAGTAAAACGGTTAAAAACAACAAGAAACGGAGAAAGATCTGACAGTTTATCTGTGCTAATTAAATTCGAAGAAGAGCAATTACCAAGCAAAGTATTCATCGGTTACATAAGCTATAATGTCAAAATCTACAATCCTCCACCATTGAGATGTTTCAAATGCCAAAAATTCGGTCACATTGCAGCAGTTTGTAAAGGGAAACAGAGGTGTGGAAGGTGTGCAGGAGAACATGAGTACGGAAAATGTGGAAAAGAAGCTAAAATAAAATGCTGTAATTGTGGTGGAGAACATACTGCTGCCTATCGCGGCTGTGAAGCAAGCAAAAGGTCTGAGGAAATTAAAAAAATGAAATTTGAGCTCGGAATAACCTACGCTGAAGCTGCAAAAAGGATCCCATCTCAGTCAGAAAAACCCAAACCTACAGTTCAACACACAGCAAATTCCAAACCTCTAGAGAAATCTCTAAAAATTGATGAAGACTCACTTATTGTTAAAAAGACAAATTTTGTTCTTTTCATGGTAGAAGTTATTAATTGTACTGCACAGACAACAAAAAAAACGGAAAAAATCAAAATAATAGTGAAGGCTGCAGAAAAATATCTGGACATTAAAGATTTGAACTGGGAGATGGTTGGAAGTATGATGGGAGGACCGATGGGACCATCAGAAACTGGCAGAGTTAAGATGACCTAGAGTAAATTAAAATTATATGGGCAAATGTGATTTAGTATTATGTTGGTTTAAGTTACACAGGTTTTTTTTTTTTTTTTTTTTTGTTTTTTTTTTTTTTTTTTTTTTTTTTGGGGGGGTGAATCGTTTCCTGTTTTCTTGCTTTACTCCATATCAGTTGGTGGCGGTAATGCACAATTCACAAGTCTGCCAACCGCCATAAAATCCCATAAGAAGAAGAAGAACAAGCGACAGAAAAAAACAACTTCCTAACAAGTTAAGTTGTTAGTTTTTTCCTTTAACATCCGCCTTCTAGGGTAAGTTGTTACATCACTTTATACTATTGGGGGGAAACAAGGTGGACTTTTTATGACTGTTAATAAACAAACTTTGATTAGGATGCTGGATTAAGGAGCAGACTAAAGGCTGTCCCAAAACATCTAACAACTCAAATCTAAACTCAGTATTAGAAAACAGTGAGTGATGAAACCTTAGTTTAGTTTGTTAAAACAATTCATGACTTTTCTTTGTATTTTATAGTAAAGTTTCATTAAACACTTCCTTTGATAAAAGAAGTGGTTCATTAATGAAGAAGGATAAACATTATTAATTTATTTGACAGTGACAGTGTGCATTAATAAGCATTCCTGCACCAGAATTAGCCGACAGGCTAATTTTCATCTGTTGTTTCTTGACAGATCTTAAAATTGTCTACCTAAAAAAACAACAGTAAGAATTTTACATTGAAAAATATAAAAAGAAATAGAAACAGCTATAACAATAATAGTTGGTGCAAAGTAAATCTGTTTTATTCAAGTTTGTGTTTCAGATTCAATTAGATCTGACACTTTTAGACAGACTCAAACAAATCCTTGATTAAAATGAAAATCGATTGATTGACTTTATTGATCTCACAGCGGAGAAATTTACTAGTTACATTGGCTCAAATTGTTAAAGAAGAAGATGAATGTGCCAAAGGAAGAAAAGTCAGAGAAACAGGACTATACACTGAAAAAACAGGCCAATCTCCAACATCTATAAACAAAGGTGTTGATGGCAGCAGCACAGCTGATATTTCTCTCCAGGATGGAGTCACAGCCAAACAGGAACAGACCAGATGAAGCTACTATGAGAAAAAGCAGAGAGAGCAGAACGTTAGAGAACAGATTCTTCAGAGTGGGAGAATAGAGATAGAATGAAGCAGAATGTTGAAAAGGGGTCCCTATGTCCTCCAGCAGTCTGAACCTATAGCAGCATAACTATAGAGATAGCTCAGGATAACCTGAGCCACTCTAACTAGAAGCTTTATCAAAAAGGAAAGTTTTAAGCCTAGCCTTAAAAGTAGACAGGGAGCAAAGTGCTCTGTTAGGAACATAAGGAACAATCAGATCTCTGATATCAGATGGAGCTTGGCCATTTAAGGTTTTATATGTGAGAAGGAGGATTTTATTCTATTCTGGATTTAACAGGAAGCCAATGAAGAGAAGCCAGGATCTCAGACAAATGGAGCCGTCTGTTGTGTCTCAGTCATGCATGTTTTCTAATGTATCCTGCTTTTCTGAGTACTGTAGGTGACGTATTTTATCTGGTTAACCTTGTTTCCATCCTGTTTCCTGTAGGATACAATGCTTTCTGCAGGAGATGTTCAGAGCTGCCTCAGGAAGCTGGAAACTCTGCTGCGAGCGATTAAGTACCCAGGAGATGTTGACTACAGCGGGTAAGCCTGTTAGGATCGTTATCTGTGGAATATTTTTCATAGAGACCTGAAGGGACTATAGAATGGACTATAGGTACAGGAGCATAGGTTTAAAAAAGCTCCATAGAATATGGAAATATATATTCTTTGTTTTTCAGACTTTATTCATTATCATATTATCTACTTCCTGTTGTCCCTGCTGGTCTTTTTATTTGCATCTTTCCAACCTTCTCTGCTTCCTTTTTTGTTTTCCTCTCCCTTTTCTCATTTCCTTCCCCGTTTCTCTAATTTATTCTCTTATTTTGTTACTCCCTTCTTCCATTTCCTTCCTTTCTTCCAAAGTTTCTGTTTATATTTCTTGCTGAGCCTAAAACTGTGGAACAATCTGCCATCAATGTATTAATAAAAAATGTAGAAATGGGCTTCAAGGTAAAAATGAGAAGGAATTCAGGTCATAGAGTTTACTATTGATAAAAACCATATTATTCTGTAAATATTCTCTATCTAGATCTCATCCACGGGACACTAATGAAAATAAATACGGTAGTTTCTTTTATGTTTGTCTTTTTAAAAATATATTCAAATGTCCCCAAAAAGTCTGTATTGATGATTATAACTAATAAAATAGCCAAATGAATAGTTTCTAAATGGAAGCAGAGCTGCAGCCTTAATATAAACATGAATTTAAGGAAAATCCTGAATATATTGAACAGTTTTTTTTTTCTTTTTATGAAATCAATATAAATGACAACACTGAATACATTTACAGAAATAATATACCAACACATAAGCCCCCCTCCCCTCTCCTCCTCACACTCATTCACATCCATTCACCCATTCATTTGTCCACAAATTACATTTTCAGAATAAACAGAATAAACTTTCCATCGGTTTTTATATTTTCTGGCTTCATCATCGGTTTTAACCATATAACTTTCTAAAGTTAAAAAATGCTGAATAAATGTTTGAAAGAAATTAATACTAAGTGAAAATATGTTTTTGGTTTTAAAGATAAACCTTTTACCGAGTGCAATAATTAAATTAACTAAGTGGGGACTGTGGATAAACTCTCCCAGTAAAACAGAAACCACATCAAGCTTCACAGACCGATCCTTAAAACACAATTTTAACTTCCATCCAACTCTGTCATATTCCATAGCTTTAACATTTTATTATGATTTTAATTTGAAAATAAAGATTTTGCACATCAAAAGTAGTTTTATAGATTAATTTCAATATTTTATCCCACGGCAGCAGGCAGTCAAAGTAGTCATCCCATTTTCCATATGTGTTAAATGGGGCAACCTTCAGTGATTTTTTTTTTTTTTTTTAAATAAAATGTATATATTTTTTTCAATTTTTTTTTATTCCCTTTTGCCAATTAGAGTTTCTTATTGGAGGTTTACAAACATATAGTGTAGTATTTCCATTGTTCCCATTTATTTCCAGTTCCTCCAGTGAGTTGGTTAAAGGAACAGTTTGAACAAGCATCACCATATATAATTCTAAATTCCTCATACTCCATCATTTTACCGTTCTCATTAATAATGTCATTAACAAAGATAACTCCTCTTTAAAACATGCTTTTCAAAAAGAAAGACGTTCCATCTTTCAGGATATTGGAATTCATCCATATTATCTGTTTAGTTGTTTCCGTAGAAGAGCAGGTTAAATTCAAATTGCATGCCATAGCTGACCTAAGGCTGATTATCTGGAACTAGTTCCCACTGAGGAAGAAAAATACATCAAATGGTAAATTATTATCGGGAATAATTTGAAAACGACTTCTTTCTGCTTCATGTCCTTAATATTAATAATATTAATATTTAGTTTGACTGGATGATCTGGTTGAATTATAAATATTGTAAATTGGCGCTATAGAAATTGTATTGAATTGATTCAGATGGGGCGGGGTTATTGAAGATGTTTTTTGTTTCTGCATCAGGCTTTCCAAAGGAGACCCCTCCACCTTTCTGCCCATACTCAGCTTCACCCTCACCTCCTTCTCTCCAGTGTTTGCGGAGCAGCTGGTGGCAGCTGGCCTGGAAATGACGGGAAAAACGGACCTCAGGTTCACCGACGCGCTCTATAAGGTAACATGGTGTCCTGCAGGGAGCAGGAAGAGACAAGCTGAGTCCCAGCACCGTCACATTTACATCTGCTGACCAATGAAAAGCATCAACCTCTCACTGCTTTAGAAAGATGCTGTTTGTTTTTATCAGCATACAGATTCACAGAGATTTGTTGTCTCCAGGTTCTAAGAGACATCTTCCACTATAAACCTGTCCTGAGCAAACAGCAGTTCCTCCAGTGGGGCTTCTCTCAGAGGAAGATCTCCTTCGTCTGCGACGTCATTAATCTGGTCCTGCAGAGACACAAGCAGCTCAACAAGGTAACCCACACTGAGAGGAAGAGGAGGAGGAGGAAGAGCTGGTCTCTCAGAGGGACAGACCTTCATGCTTTCATGTAAAATGGACATAAATCTTTGATGGGAACTCAGCTGAAGCTGAATAAGGACAGAGGTGACAATTTGGATCACTTGAAGATCATCTGTGGGGTAGAGTGTAGTGAAAGCTGGACTCAGGCGAACAAGGAGAATAGAAAGTGAACCAGAACCAGAGAAACAGACGCAGACCTGAGATCAGTGCAGAGAGAGAACTAACTCCTGATGCAGTGAATTCAGCTCAGCTCACAGTAAGAATAATATGGCAGAGAATTAGGGCCAGGCTAGAGATTTCTATTAGAATAACCTCATAGTATTATGAGAGTAAAGTTGTAACGTGAGAATAAAGTTATAATATTATTGTAACATTATGAGAATAAAGTTGTAATTTATGACAACTGTTACCAGAAGTACTGTCTTCCCTAAAATGAGGAATGTTGAGCATCTTCTAAAGTTATACTTTGGCATCGGTTTGATAAATAAGGAAATATGAAGTCTTTTAGCATCAAGTTATTATCAGTTTTGTCTGAGTCAAAGTAGACTCAGGTTGCTGATTGGTGGAGCTGGATGGCCGCCATCTGCTGGACGGAGCGCGAAGCTTTCTCTCTGAAATGTGTTGTATGATGACTTCATCTCATCATTTTTCAACTTTATTCTCGTAATGTTAAGACTTTATTCTCATGATATTATGACTTTATTCTGATAATGTTGCAACTTTATTCTAATTGTATTATGACTTTATTCTGATAATATTATGACTTTGTTCTCATAATCTTTTGACTTTATTCTGGTATTTAATAAAATCTCCAGCCAAGCCCTAATACTCTGTGACAGAATACAGAATGAACCATGAAGCGCTGAGGAGCAGATCATCAGCGTGTGTGGGGGAGGGTGTTTCTTACTTCATGGGGTCTGTTTTCCATAAATATTAGCACATTGGGTCATTGGGTCTGGCTGCTGTAGTAGGGACCATTGTCTGGTCTCTATGGACACCAATGCTGTTTTAAGGTTACATGTTGGGCTTAGGACTAAAGTGTGAATTGAGTTTAGGTTAGGTTTAGGGTAAGGCTCACTGTTAGGCTGTAGAAATGAATGGAAGTCAATGGAAAGTCCCCACAAAGCTAAAGAAATGTGTCTGTGTGTGTTTTGTAGCCCAGACTGAGGTGTCCTGCTCCACACAGGACCAGAAAGGAAGCTCATCTGACTGCCACTGATGCTGATGCTGTAAGTCTGATACAGAGACTGGTTCCACATCTAAATAGAATAGAAGTGATCTAAACAGAATGGAACTGATCTAAACACAATAGAACTGATCTAAACAGAATAGAACTGATCTAAACAGAATAGAACTGATCTAAACAGAATAGAACTGATCTAAACACAATAGAACTGATCTAAACAGAATAGAACTGATCTAAACAGAATAGAACTGATCCAAACAGAATAGAACTGATCTTTCCAGGATGGCATCACAGCCAAACAGGAACAGACCAGATGAAGCTACTATGAGAAAAAGCAGAGAGAGCAGAACGTTAGAGATTGAACTAACAGATTCTGCAGAGTAGGAGAATAGAGATAGAATGAAGCAGAATGATGAAAAAGGGGTCCCTATGTCCTCCAGCAGTCTAAGCCTATAGCAGCATAACTACAGAGATAGCTCAGGATAACCTGAACCACTCTAACTAGAAGCTTTATCAAAAAGGAAAGTTTTAAGCCTAGCCTTAAAAGTAGACAGGGTGTCTGCCTCACGGACTAAAACTGGTAGTTGGTTCCACAGGAGAGGAGCCTGATAACTAAAAGATCTGCCTCCCATTCTAGAGAAGCCAGGATAGGAGAGATATGATCTCTCTTTTTCATTTTAATCAGAACTCTGGCTGCAGCATTTTGGATCAGCTGAAGGCTTTTAACTACAGTTTGTGGACTTCCTGATAGTAAAGAATTACAATAGTCCAGCCTTGAAGTAACAAATGCATGGACTAGTTTCTCAGCATCATTCTAATTTTTGCAATATTCCTCAGATGAAAGAAGGAAATTCTAGAAACCTCTTTGATATGGGATTTAAATGACATAAAAATGTTACTGAAGAAAAGTAAAATGTTTGGTAAAGTACATCTCCTCTGAAGTAAATGTAACTAGATTTGTCCCACCTCTGTTAGCTGCTCTGTTGTGTTTTAAGATGTCCAAAGAGCAGTTTGTGGGGGAGCCCTCCCCCGGGGGAGCTTTCCACTCCGGAGCTGTCGGCTCCTCTGATTCATCTGAAACCCCAACATCACCAGAAGAGGACGAGTCAAAGGAGGGCCTTTTCACTGTGAGTCTGATCAAAACAGAGTCTGCCCACCTTCATTCCCAACTCTAATCCCTGCTGCTGCTTCCCCCTTTGGAGAACAGTAAGAACCAGATCTTTCCCTGCTGGACACAGCATTTGGTTTAAACGGTTTCCTTCTGTCTTCAGGTAGCAGAGGTAGAAGAACGGCTCTCAGCACTGGAGGCTAACGTAGACACTCTCATGTCTGCAATCAACAAGCTGGATGTTCTGGAGAAACGGCTGGAGGAACTGGAGAAGTGTAAAAACACAGATAAGGTTCAAAACATCTTCCAACTCTTTTAAAGATCCCTCACTCTCTTTTAATGCGGTTAAGCAGTTTTAGTAAAAATGAACCAGATTTTTGACCATATTGCTGTTTTCCTCTCTGCTAACCATGTTCCTGTTTGGGTTTCATTCCCGGCCTTGATGCTCTCTGATCGCAGGACTTTACTGCGGAGTGGAAAATCTCCTCTGAGTGCTAGCTACATTTCAGTTCTCTATTATCCTTAAATTTAACAATTCAGTTTATTTCTATAGCACCAATTCACAACACATGTCATCTCAAGGCACTTTCCAGTTCACCAGATCATCCAGTCAGATTAATTCAAAGTTTTCTATCTAAGGAAAACCAGTTGATTGCATCGACTCATTGACTCTTCAACAATCCCTCACACTAAGCATGCTTGTAGCGACAGTGGAGAGGAAAAACTCCCTTTGAACAGGAAGAAACCTCCAGCAGAACCAGGCTCAGTGTGAGGATGAAGAGAAAACATCCAGTTAGTCACAGTCAGAGAAACAGGACTACTCTGAAAAACAGGCCGATCTCCAGTATCTAGAAACAAAGGTGTTGATGGCAGCAGCACAGCTGATATTTCTCTCCAGGATGGAGTCACAGCCAAACAGGAACAGACCAGATGAAGCTACTATGAGAAAAAGCAGAGAGAGCAGAACGTTAGAGATTGAACTAACAGATTCTGCAGAGTGGGAGAATAGAGATAGAATGAAGCAGAATGATGAAAAAGGGGTCCCTATGTCCTCCAGCAATCTAAGCCTATAGCAGCATAACTATAGCGATAGCTCAGGATAACCTGAGCCACTCTAACTAGAAGCTTTATCAAAAAGGAAAGTTTTAAGCCTTAAAAGACCAAATATTGATTCTATCTGCCTTATCAAAGTCACATTTTAATGGATTTATATTGTTCCATCCTTCCATGAAGTCACTGCTTCCTTTCCAAAAGCTTCAAACAAAACGACAGTGAGCCGCTCTGTCTGATCAGTTTCAGAATGAAGGAGACGTCCTTCTGGTGTCCAGAGAAAGCTGGGAAGACCTGACCAGTAGGGTGGTGTTACTGGAAGCTAAACTGGAACTAAGGAATGCACAGGTTGGACCAGACAGCAAACTGGATTCACTTATCTTCGTTTTTTCTCTTCTCATTTCGGTGTCAAGATGTGAACAAAAATAGTCTTTTTAAATGATAGGAATAATGTTCTCACTTTATTTTTTCCTTCATTTCAGCCTCTCGTCCCCCTCCAGTCCTCCCTTCCAGCGATGGATGTCTCACAGGTGAGGACAATGTCTTCTGTGTCCATCAGTCACGTTAGCTGATGGACACAGCAAGTACCTCTGGATAACTGGATAACTGATTATAAACATATAATTAGGACTCTTTAAAGTAATCAATGAGCGAAAAAGCACAACATTTAAAGTTGTGTAAGATTAAATAAAACAAATAAAAATGTAATGTTTATTCAGTTGATCATTTAACTAGATCTAAATACATTTCTATTTATTTCTATATTTATATCCATTTAAAGGAAATGTGTTTAGACAGGATGCATTAAATGACAATAAATAGGCTATTTAGGAAATAAAAAGTATTTTATTTTTTTTAGGCATAAAACATGTTTTCAGTAGGTGGTAATAAGTTAAAGCTACAGTGTGTAATAATTACAGGGATATACAGTCAGAAATGTAATATATTATGCATAACTGTGTTATTTATCATCATCTAGGAGCTCAGCCTCTTAACCTTAACATTTGCGTTGCCTTAGAATTCGTTATTTATAATTACATAGGAGCGGGTCTCGCAGCCATGGAGGCAGACATCTTTGCGCTACGGCAGCGCAGAGCCAACAAACTAGCGATTGCGAGATCGCCAAAATGTCACAACGGTGTAGAAAAAATAACGGGTATATTCATTATCTAAAGTCTACATGAAATCTATACCCTACACAGACTAATGAAATACTATCTGTAAAATTATCTATGTAAACAAACCTCATCACTTGAGAAGGTAGGTGATGTGGACGTCGTGGAAGACATTTTGTCCCGTAACGCTCGCCGTACTGTTGGGGGGGAGAAGCGGTGGGGGGCAGATGTTCATGTTGCTGCGGTCTGCAGTCTGGCCGCTAGATGTCGCTGAAAATTACACACTGTAGCTTTAATAGAAATAGGTAAAATGTATTTGTAATATAATAATAAAGGATAAATACAGCATTCAAATGAAATAACAGATTAGTTGATTTTTTTAAAATAAAAATGAGTGCAAAAGTACATAAATAAATTTCAGCAGCTACAAAATAAAATGGCAATTTAAATTTCTATTTAATTAGGAAAGAATTTTCTGCTTTTATTATTTTTATTGTATATGACACTCTAACTGAAGTGAATATTGAGCTATTTTTTATGGCCCAGTAATGCTTTAAATTATTTAGTTACTTATATATTCTTAATTATGGATGCATTCATCCTCCTAACTACTAGATGATTTCTTACGTTTAATAACATTCATGCAGTTGACTATAAATAATATAATAGTAAATAATATATATATAAACAATAATTCAAACCGCTTTCATAATGGGGATTTAAAACGCTGCCTTTCTTTAACTAAGAAATGTGTTTATGATGTTAAAGGGGAATCTCTAAAAGATCAAATACTGAATTAGTTTGAAAAATACAGACTTACATTAAACTGAAAATATGAATGAATGTCTGAACAATCAGTGCAGGAATCTAGACCAACTGGCTGCTGGTTGGAGGGCCTCTGTGCCATCTCCCTCATGTCTAACGCCTTCCACAGCCTCTCTACCCGACAGGGGGGGTTACCCCATTCATTATAGGGCCACAAGTTCCTGGGGGCCCCATTAAAACTGTTTCCATGTATGGTTAATACAACTATTCCTTATTTCTGCACATTAATTATGTTTTTGATTGATTCCTTTCACTAAAATGCCATCAGAACGCTGATAATATTAAGTGTGTCTCAGCCCCCCCCCCCCCCCCCCCCCCTTCAGTGTCCACCATATTGGATCAGTCCATTTGCTGCACATGTTCAGAAAGGTCCAAACAGACAGCAGCAAACCATTTGAAAACAAACGATGCAAAGAGCAGTGTTGCTAACTTGGCGCTTTAGTCGCTATAGTTAGTGACTTTTCAGACCCTTTTAGCACTTTGATTTCAATAAAGCTCCTAGCGCCAAATCTAGAGACTTTTTTCTGCTACTGGAGACTTTGGAGACAACATCTAAAAACAGCGAACTCTGCTCTCCAGAGCAAGTAGATTGGTAACCCCGCCTCCTGCTCTCCTCTATCTTGTCTGCTGTCATGATTCATGCAGCTATTATTTCATCCAAATGAAAAATGGAGAACAGAGAAGCAGATCATGGCTTGTCTACAGTGAAAAGAAGGACTGGGTTATTTACTTTGGCCTTTTTGGAAACACAGGAAGGAGCAATCAGCTAAGTGAGCTTAGTGCTTGGAAAAAATCTTTCATTCCTTTAGAGACAGCATGAAAAGTCAGCTGAGTACAAAACATAGAGAGGAAAACAAGAAGAAAAGGGACAAGAAGAGAGGGACACAACCTAGAATAAATACCTGTATCCATATCTGTATAATGGGTCTGTTTTATGTGTTGTCAACTCAATTCAGAGGGCCCCTTGCCTGTATTTGCCTAGGGCCCCAAATTCCCTAAATCCACCCCTGCTACCAGATTTAGGTTGAAGATCTGACTAAGCCTCTCCAAGTCGCTCACATGCTGCTGCTGCTGTGTAGAAATATGCCAGCAAAATGAAAAAGCTGCTTTAAACCTTAATCTGCCAGGAGTAGAGTTACTTTAGATCCAGCTAATGATGTTTGATAATTAGTGGTTATAGGAAAGCAGACATCTTTGTTTAGTTATTGATCATGGTCATCATGACATCCATTGTACAGATTTAGTTCAGATTGTATCAATGTATTACTTCAGCTGGCCACCAGAGGGAGACATCATCATGATTTGGTGTTCTTGGGGAGGATAGCTGTCAGAGCAAACATAGAGATGTCTGTCTCTCTGTACCTTCAGTTAGTGATCAGTTCAACCTGATGGTTTCTCTTCTGTTCAGGACGATCTGAAGGAAAGCCTGCAGAGGATCGCTGACAAGTACGTTTCCCTTCAACAGCAGGAAGGTTCTCTTCTAATCCACATTTTAGTTTTCCGTTCTGCATTAGTTCTGCACAAGTTCAGTCTCTGTTTGGATCACCAGCAGAAAATCAGCCATGTTTAAACCCTCACACCTTTCATTTCTTTGTAGTTTTATTAGTAAAATGATTTTATCTCTATCTGTTAACTTTGCTGTTGGTGTTTTTTGTTCTGTGTCTTTCTTTCTAGGATGAAGAATACTTCCAGTCTGCTGAAGAACAAACCTGCAGTGGATCCAGATTGTAGCCTTTTGTCGTAATAAATGATTCCAGAACAACTTTCTGTCTTATTCAGATGATATTGGTGTGTTTATGATCGTCTTTATTTAGACTGAAACTGGAGAAGAGTCTCAGCGTTCCTTGGAATGAACAGAGAATCAGATTCAGTCATTTGGTTTGAAGTCTGTATTATTGTGTGATTATATTTCTGTTCCACACATCATGTAGATTTGAGTCTTTGTTGGATTATTCTGTCAGACTAAATAAATTCATTTTCCACACCTGCCTAATCCTCAGTGCTGGTGTCTCCTAGTCACCAGTGTTTATAGATATGATACACAGAAAGGAACCTGTGATGATGTAGTGCAGGGGTCACAACAATAGTAGATCCTGAAATTATGGCTTTTAGTTTCAGTGGCCACCCCAAGACTTTTAGTGGCCCCATCTGGCCCCCCCCCATGGAACATTTCTGGAGGTTCCACTGCCTCGAGGGCCGCTGTCCTGCAGGTTTTAGAGGTTTATCAGAATTCTGATGATTGCAGTTCAACAAAAGCCTCTTAATCAGCTATCAATGGAAATCAGCTGTACTGCAGCGCCTCCAGAAATGTTTCATGGGGGGCCAGTGGCGGATCTAGACCTAATGTACCAGAGAGCCAGGAGGGGGCCAGCGTGTTTTCATGGAGGCACAGAAAAGCATGAATTAAAAAACAGGGTGAGGGTTTCAAATATATTAAGAGAGCCGCATAAAGTGAAATTTCAATTCAATTAGGTTTAATTAAAATCATATTTCCTATACAGGTCAATATACATTCATCATTTCGAAATTTTACATATTTTTGACTTACTGTTAGTCAAAATTACTGTGTTATTTTATAAAATCTGAATTATAACTCAAGAAAAACATGAATTTATCTGTAAAAATTGGAGCATTTTTTTTTTTATTTGTGTTGAAAAAGAACATTTAGCAGATGAAAACTGGGATCCTATCTCAACACCACTGAAGCTATCACCTTATTGTTTAAAAAAAAATAAAATAAAACAGAATTTGAAAAGAAAAAAAAATGGAAATAGATCCAAAGTACATATCAGTAACCATGTCTGTTCCGGCGCAGATCATCATTAGAACTGCTTTGAGTATTATGTCTTCAGTATAGGGACCATAACAGAATCTACAGGGGCACTGGCCCCCGTTGGCCCCTATCTAGAACCGCCAATGGGTGGCACGCTGAAACTAAAAGCCATAATTTCAGGGTTTGAATCTACTATTGTGGTAAACCTGCCGGTAGAACCAAGAAGTAAACAGCTGCTCAGATCTTGGTTTATTATGTGATTTTTAATGTTTCATCGCTGGCTGTCAGAGGTGTCAAGTAGCAAAGTACAGATACTTCGTTACTGTACTTATGTACCATTTTTAGGTATCTATACTTTACTCTATTATTTATTTTTCCTCCTACTTCTGACTTCTACTCATCACATTTCCACACAAGTATCTGTACTTTCTATTCCTTACATTTTTAAAACAAACGTTACTCGTTACTCTTGGCTTCGGTTTAATGTTTATAAATATTTATTTCCTGTCATGTGCTCCATCCAATGCAGATCATTGGCTCCATCCATATCTAGTGAAAACTAGTGTGATTGGATGAGTCATAGAACGCAAACACTCATTGGTTAGCTAAAGGAAACCATCAGAAGCAAGCAGGTGTTCTTCAAACTGCTAACGTGAATTGTCTATGCCATGCTACAATGTGGGATTCAGAAAAAGATGTTGAAATGTCTGAAAGGTCGGACACAGGCGAGAGCGTATCGGGAGACGGAGACCAACAAGACCTCCCTCATCCTTGGAACTATCTCAGAGAATTTATAGAAATAGTCAAAAATTGAGCTTTCAGTTCATATAGTGGCATCTGGCTGTTTTTTTAAAGGTTACTTTATACTTTTATACTTTAAGTAGTATTTGGAGAACATACTTTTTCACTTTTACTTGAGTAAAGAGGTCAAGTTGATACTTCAAATTTTACCAGAGTGTTTTTATACTGCAGCATCTATACTTCTACTTAAGTAACAAATGTGTGAACTTTTGACACCACTGGTGGCTGTGCATAAAGGGATGAAATGCTAAACTGATGCTACTACACTTTACCCTGGTGGGTGGGTTGGGCAGTGGGGTGGGCAGGGCATTGCACAGGGTGACTGGGGACACCCCTGGTCACCCCCCGGTGGCGCCACTGCTCAAGCAGGAAACCTCCAAACCCTGCAGCGCTGACTGTTTTAGGGAAACTGTGGAGTGTTTGTGGATTGTGTCCAGCAGGGGGCGGTAGAGGGAAACGGTTGGTGTTGGTGTTTTTGCATCCCCTGAGCAGGTCTTCCAGGCTGGTCCAAACAGTTCCTAGAAGTGAGGAACCGGTTTACTAGAAGCATCCATTAGTGAGTGCATCCTGATCTGTCTTCTCCTTCCATCATCATTCAGGACAGTTCTGATGGAAGAACTGAAGTTACTGCTCAGCCTGTCAGACAACGCTCCGGGCTTGGTTCACCCGCAGTAACGCGGGAGATTTCTGCCTCGCTCCGTGGGTTCTGCGTGCTGCAATCCACGGAAGTCTTCCTGTACACCTCATCATGGAAGGAAAGGCGATGCCGGACCTGTTAAATGGGTAAAACCTGGTTTCTATTCAACAGACTGAGCAGCTTGCTTTGATTCACTTCCAGAGAAGATGGAGGAAAAATGAAACATGTTAGAAAGAAAAGTTCATGCTTCCTGTTTGAAGGGGTCACCTGCACGCTGCATGCACTTTATTTGTCTTCAAAGTTAGAGCTAGTGATGGTTAATGAAGCTTCTTAAAGCATTTATTGCCAAACTGTATTGATTCTGCGTTGATACTGTCCGGCAGAATACTGACACTTGCTAGACATTTAAAGGTACTACAGGCAGCTGATTGGACTAAACTGAATGGATTTGAAGACCTAGTAAAATAATATGATTTAAGTTATTTCAGGTTATATTTTAATATTTCATATGTATGTTTAAATTGAAAATATTTTTGATATTTTTTGATGCAGCCAATTCAGTTTATTTCTATAGCTCCAATTCACAACACGTCATCTCAAGGCCCTTTCCAGTTCACCAGATCATCCAGTCAGATTGGTTCAGTTTGCTATCTAAGGAAAACCAGTTGATTGCATCGACTCATTGACTCTTCAGCAATCCCTCACACTAAGCATGCTTGTAGCGACAGTGGAGAGGAAAAACTCCCTTTGAACAGGAAGAAACCTCCAGCAGAACCAGGCTCAGTGTGAGCGGCCATCTGTTGAGGCCGACTGGGGTTCAAGGAGACAGAAGCAGACATAGAAAAAGAAGCAGAGATACAAAAGGAAACTGTCAACCAGCTCCAGGAAACACACAGCCAGGCAGACGAGCTCTGAGCCAGCTCCCATGTCAGAGGATGAAGAGAGCACATCCAGTTAGTCACAGTCAGAGAAACAGGACTACACTGAAAAACAGGCCGATCTCGAATAAATAATGTAGACCTATGTGAAAATTAGAAATGTTCATGCAGGTGGTAGATATAGATGCACTTCTTCCATCAGCTGGCTGTTTTTGGTATTGGATTTTCAAAAGTCAAATTTATTCTTCTATCATTCATTCAATCAAAAAGCAGCATTTGTCCTCCATGTTTGATCACATGATAATCTGACTATAATCTAGTTGAATTTAATCTGTAAAGTGTGAAGTGAGCTGACGTGTTGTGAATTGGCACTATAGAAATAAACTGAACTGAATCTGTCTTTGTGTTTCTGCAGAGGCACCACGCGCAAAAGGGAGGACTACCTGGAGTGGCCGGAGTACTTCATGGCTGTGGCCTTTCTGTCAGCACAGAGGAGCAAAGACCCCAGCTCTCAGGTGGGCCCCCGCTTAAACATCCATCCTAATCAAGCTGTTTTTTATATGTTTTAGCTGGAAATGTAGTCTCATTGAAATCTGCCTTTTTTGTACACCGAATTTTAAACACCAGATTTTTTTTTATACCAGGGTTCCGGTGGGTTCTTAAAAAGTCTTAGGCCCCGTCCACACAAAGTCAAAACGAACACGAAACGCTGATATTTTCCAAAAGGTTTGCCGTAAAGACGGAGACGTAAAATAAATGTGATCGACCACACGAATGCATGAAAACGCTGCAAAATGTATGCCAGGCCTGTAAGTGGCGCTGTGGTGCCAAAGCAAAAATAAGCGACGAAATGTTGGGCATGCGCACTAATATTTATACATGTTTGCCCTGCGGGCCCATTTTCGTGGTTCAGTCAAATTCAGGTGCTGAACTATGTGGTCGATATTGCTCTGTTCTTCCTGGAGATATTCCAGAAGAAGAAGATTCTGTTGTAAGCCCGACCAGCCCGACAGCAGGGTGAGTAGCATTAGCAGCAACGGCGCCATTGTTGTTGTGATACTGGTCGCGCATGCGTGTTTAGAGGCGACGCTATGACGCATGCGTGTAAAAAAAAAAAAAAAAAAAAAAAAAAAAAAAAACTATGAACGTGAATATTCTGAAGGCTGAATAAAAAAAAGATCATTTACAGACCCCCGAAACGCCGGCTTCGTGTGGATGAGAGGCTGGTTTGGTGAAAAAGTTGTGCGTTTAGGCCAAGGTTTGACTTCGTGTGGACGGGGCCTTAAAAGGCATTAAATTCTTCAAAATAAAACTAAGGCCTTAATTGGTATTAAAATGTCTTAAATCAGTTTTCAAAGGTCCCAATTTTTAAAACATCATAAATAGGATAATTTTTATTACGATTTATTTTTTAATCTAAATAAAACATTAAAATTGACAATTTCTTTTTTTTATTTAAAAAAGATAACGGCTTGCCATCATAGGTTCCGTCCCGATAGCGGAACCAAAGTGTTGTTGCGGCCGGGACATTTGGGAGATGCACCATTAACTTTTTGTCTGGAAAATATGAGCAAGTGTAAATGTAACGATAATTGTCTCCAGCCAAGAGTTTCCTCCATGGCTAAAACCAGGGAACATACATGAGGCTCAGTGGATTTTATGCAAGAAGTCATTCAAGCTCAGAACGATGGGAATTAAGGCAGTGGAGTCGCACATGCGAAGCGCGAAACACAAAGCGTCAAAATGGAGTTACAGAGAAACAGCCGGTATTTCTCAGTTTTGTTCCACCCTTGTCTCTGCAACGCCTCCACTTATCACCAAATCAAACATACTAAGAAAACCTTACAAAGAAAAATAGCTGCAAAAAAGACTTAGCACTGGTTATGTTGTGGCTTTAAAACTGATTTGTTTTGTTCCCTGCTAAAACAAAGTTTGTGAATTCAGTTAAATAATTGTTCAAATTTATCTGTCATTTGTGTGTTTTTAGCTTTCTTCCTGTATGGGAAGCTTTTCAACATTTGAAACATTAGTGCAGTGGTTTATGTTAAAATAAACCTTTGGGTTAAGTTGTCGCAAGCAGGTTTTTCTTGTGTTTCTTGTGAATTTGGTCTTAAATTTTTATTTCAAGTGGCATTAAAAAGTCTTGAATGTAACTTGCCTTATGCTGTAGGAACCCTGCATACATTAAATTCCTTAGTCTGAATTTTTATCTGGTGAAAATTCAGCTGCAAAAAATGTTATGGTGAAGGTTTGGGGCAGCGCTGTAGGTTTAGGAGAGCCGTAGAGATTTAGTCACCTTATAAACAGAGGCGGCTGGAGTTTCCTCCAGGGGGCGCTATAAATTAAAAATAAACATATACCAAAAAACCAATCAAATGTATTGTTATAGGAAATACGTCACCAATCCTTCAAAAAATTCCGCTTTACTAGTCATTAAAGATAAAATATTTATCTTGCACATCTAAAAAAGATATATATAGATTAAAGTTAAATTATTAAAAAATTATATATTTTTTATGTGTTAATCAGCGTCATTGGGTGTGGGGCGGCGCCCTCTATTGGCCAGCCACCGCTGCTTATTCCGGTACAGAGCGTGTGGTGATCAGATGCTTTGTGCTCCTCCCTCCCTGCAGGTGGGTGCATGCATAGTGAACCAGGAGAACAAGATTGTCGGCATCGGCTACAACGGCATGCCTAATGGCTGCAACGACGACCTGTTGCCATGGTCGCGCTCCGCTGATGATCGGCTCAACACCAAATACCCGTACGGTAGGGACACCTGTGCAGCAGCACCTCACGCATTAGCTGGCGTTAAGCTCCTGTCCCTCAGCCAACTGCTCCATTGCTAGGTGTGATGCAGCATGGCTAAAGCAACCTGCTTTGCGTTGTCGTAGAAACAGTGTGTGGTCTCTCTCTGTTGGTTCCCACAGTGTGTCATGCAGAGCTGAACGCCATCATGAACAAGAACAGCGCCGATGTCAAAGGATGCACCATGTATGTGGCTCTGTTCCCCTGCAATGAGTGCGCCAAGCTGATCATCCAGGCAGGTGGGTGACCTGAGCCAACAACTCCCCCAGATTCAGAGTGCATCTCTATTTCACGGCTGTCCTTCCTTTCCCGCCCAGGTCTGAAGGAGGTGGTGTATCTCTCTGACAAGTACCACGACACGCCGGAGATGGTGGCTTCCAGGCGGCTGCTCGACATGGCGGGAGTTCAGTACAGGTACCCTTCCTGCTTTAAGCATCTCTACTTTATTGTGTGGCTGTCCTGGACAAGACAATCCGATCAGGGAGGGGTACAAACCAACAAGATGTTGGAATGAAAGAGTTTCAGCATCGGCAGAACAACTTTGGAGACGGTTTGAAAGGAAACTGTTTGCTTTGCATTCAGACTCAGAGAGGGTAAGATATTGAGCAGATAACAGGAAGGCTAAAAGCAGAGAAGAAGCTCTTTTTCCCTGCCTGTCTGTCAGGGTACATGGTTGTAAAACCACTGGCAACTTTTAATATGTGTACATCAGAGGTGGGTCGTAACTAGTTACAGTTGCTGGAGTAACAATTTGAAATAAATACATTTTTACTCTTCCTTACTTCTTAATTTAAAAGGCAACGCCGTTTTTTTTTTTTTCATTGGTCCCTTGATTTTACGTTATTCCATCATGTTCTACTCACCTATACAAGTTTTGTGTCATTAGGAGCTGCTCTGAATATATTCCGTTAGGTTATATCCAGTAAAGTCTTCCTATGGGCAACGACTTGAAGGCACAAACTAAACTGTTCATCATTGATCATTTATGGTACGCCAGCATTCAGAACATGTAGGTGAATCACTGTCCCCCAGACATCCACGGTTATATTTTTTATATTTATATCTTTTAAAAACAAAGCGGCGCGTGTATGACATCATCAGCGTGCGCCGGCTACCGTTCATTCATCCTGTCCGCTGAACTGCTGCTAGTTTTCCTCACATGCCTGGAAGATGTCTAGTGCTGCTACCACAGATGATCTCGCTCTAGAAATGGAATTAAGTGATTCAGATTAGCTAGAATGAATAGAAGGGGTAGGGGGTAGCCGCCTGTGTATATTACCCAGTTCTACTGTGTAAACTGGGTAATATACATTACTGAGAAAGGTGAGCTTCAGTGACTGTCTGAAATCGTAGCTCACCACAGATATACGCCTGAAGGTGCGCAGAAAAAGATAGCTAACGGGATGAGCACGTAGGACGGCCTTACGTAAACATATCACCAGAATGATTGACAGTTAGGAGGACCATTGATTGAGATGATCCACCCGGAAATAAAAGATCGACCTCTATACCTTTAAATTTATTAACCATTAATTACCCAGCGCTCAGGTAGCCTTTTTACCAAATACTTTTTTACTTTTACTTGAGTAACACATAAAGTAGTGCTAGTCTTGAGCACAATACCTGTGGTGTACATCTTGGATTTACTAATAAAACTGAAAATGGTTATTTATTTATTTATTTTCCTTTGAACCTGATTTAAAATATCTGCCCATCAATAGACCAGAAATCCAAAATGTCTGACTCTCTCTAAAGCCGCTTCCCATCGTATGACGGGGAATCTAACTGGAAGGGTTGACCTTTAACCCCTGGTTCTCTGCTGTTGCTGTCATCAACTCCTCGCCATGTGTTGACCTTCGCTTTTTCCTCCGTTTTTCTGCAGGCAGTTCAAACCCAAGAGGTCTGAGATCGTGATAGATTTTAACTCCATTAACCACAGAGGGAGCGCCGGAGCGGCGAGGACCCAGCAGGACGGCGCGTCCACGCTGGACGCCTGAACACGTCACCGCTGGCTGTGGCACCGTTTCATCTGGGTCTGAGCTCTGGGGTCGCTGCTAGGTCGGGTCCTTTCAAACTTTTCACTCTGGGACTTTTTCCCTGGATGTCTCTGTGAATGAGGCTCCCGCTCTGCAGAGGCAGAAACTTTATCAAACTTTTATTCTTGGTCCACAGTCAGTGTTTTTATCGGTTGTAAATAAGCTGAGTATTCTTGTTACTGTGGGGGGGCAATGTTACTTTGGTCAAACGGCTCCACTCTGCTGAATCTGTGCTTTTATGAATGATGCTTAAAGCAGATGTGCTGGATGTCAGCCATTACTGCCTCTGTAATAAAAGTGGGATGAAAGAAGCTGAATGACTGCTGGTTTTATTGTTCACCTGTTCCTGCTCCAACCACTGACCTGGAAGCAGGAACCAGCGACTCTCCTCTGCATCAACACAGCACAGTTCTTCTATCATCCATTTGGTGCCAATTCTATATCTCTACATCTATACTCACTCTGCTTCTTTCATCCTCTCCTCGTTTCTCACAGCTTACACTACCGTAATACTCCTAATAGAGCCTCAGAGGGGTTAGACCATGACTTTGACTGGGCCATTCTGACCCTTAATATGCTTTAATCAGTAGTGATGGTTAACGAGGCATCTGGGACCCAAACTATTGATTCTGCGTTGATACTGTCTGACAGAATACTGACACCTGCTGGACATTTGAAGGCACTACAGGCAGCTTATTTAACGAACTAAACTGAATTGATTTGATGACCAATTACAATGATATCATTAAGTATGATTATAATAAGTTATTGTAGGTTATATTGTATTAATTCATATCTATGTTTAAATTGAAAACATCTTTGATATTTTTAGATGCAGCCAATAAATTATGTAAACGTATAACATGAAATTTAGGGGAAAATGAGGATGAGGATGCTTATGGACTAGGATTTAAATCATAATTTTTAAAACAATAAGTACGGTAAAAACAGTAAATAAACTAAGAGCCAATTTAAAATTAACTTTAATTCAGATAAGCTGAGGGATAACTGAGAAGAAAAGGATGACAGAACAAGAAAATTTAAATAAAACTCAATGGCTGAAACGTTCCTATTCCTTTTAGGCTTCTGCAGAATTCTGGATCATTTTAAAGGTAAACCACAAAAGATGAGATTTCTTTTTTAGCAGATGCATCATATTGGCAGAAACGTTTTTAAACACAGTTTATTGAGTCAGTCAGTCAGAATAAGTCCTGGGTCGGACTTTCTAGAGCAGTGTTTAGCTCTATGGGCTCCATGCATGCACCCAAGCATTGGGGTTAATGGACCCATCACTATTAATCAGGAACCACAGCGCCACCCCATGGTGAATGGACTTCCATTAAAGATGTTTGTTTAAGCCATATTTTAAACTTCCTGTTGTAAGTACTAGTATTTACCCTCTAGGAGATTTAAGGTCAACGACAAAAACAAACTGAAAGAAAAGTTACACTTAAGCAAATACATAAACCTCCAAATAACCAACCTCCCTAACGATGACATAAATCATTATTGATCTGAAATGAAAGGCAGCTCTGCAAACAGTCTGTCCAAAGTAGTAAACAGAGGGCATTAAAGCCTCCCCAAGTGAAGGGTCTGTGCCAGTCAGAAGCACTGATCCTTATTCACTGGATTGCTGATATCCCGAAAAAAAATAAAGCCACCTGCTGCCATTTTGGTACTCCCCACTCCTATGGAGACAAGCCGTAAAAATGCCTGCATGTGCAGCATTTGGCTGCAAAAACAAGCAGTTTAATGGCTGTAGGAAGACGATCCACAGGTAATTTCACAGTCAGTGGATGAACTAACCCAGAATATCCACACATACGATGTATCTCATAGTATAGTGTTAAGATGCTTATCATTGATGATGTGTGAGTTTGTTACACCCTAATATTAGCTGCCTGTTGGTGTCAGAACTGATGTTTTCCACAATAGTTTATCTAATTAAGCCAGTTTGGATATACAGTTATAATCTTCATTCTGCATGGGGCAAAGATTTGGGAATGGAACGAGAGCGGCGTCCTTCAGCTGAGAACACAGTGTAATATTTTGATAAGGCTGGAGCCATGGATGCTACCTCATCTGCTGACATGTATGATATGATGATGTGGCAGACTGGAGATGTATAAAATGCCTTTTTAACTGTTAATCAGGGCCACTTCTTGAGAGGTGAGCCCAGAGGTGAGCAGCTGCTTTCTGTAACTTCTGAGAAACTTCTCTGATCTGAGTAAGATTACAATTTCTGTCAGAATCTGTTACCCAGTGCTTCAACAGTGCTTCAACAAACATTTGACATAACCAGGAATCATGATTATAAGTTATGAACTGTTATTTAAAGAGTTTTTCCCGATTGATCTCTTTTCAGGAAAAAGAACTGGCTAGATAGAGCTTGAAGGTGCGGACACAGAGCCTATTATTAACAATAGTCTGCAGCGTAACATTAGTCTGGCTAACTCTATCACTGAGTTAGCCACTGACATTCTGTCTAACATAAGAAAATAGAAACGAGTAAATAAAAAGTAATTCACTGTGAAATGTCAATGTAGTTATTCATTATTAAGTGGATGATGCTGTCATTCCTGTACTGTTTGTTGTATTTCTCTTTTGAAAAAGTCATGTGCTGAAATATATCGCATGTTGAGTTGACGAACGCTGTTATGCTCCAATAAAACATTAATTATCTTGTGATGGATTTGTATAAAATGTCATATAACATGATTTATAGACTTCATTGACTTCATAATGACTTTGCGATGAGATCTGCCTGTTTATCATAAATTACAGTAATCTTCTGATGCTATGAAACAGCCAGTTTGTCAAAGTGATCAATTTCTCTTTATTTTAAAAGTCTCAAGCCTCCCTGAAAACGAGAACATCATCATTGTTCATTGCTGTAGCATACATGTGTACATTCTGACCGGTCTAACTAGGGAGTACCAACATGGCGGCTGGTGGCTTCACTGCACCTGTAGTATCAGCGATCCAGTGAATGAATAGAGATCAGTTGTCAGGGGGCCTCAAATAGGGCTCTGCTGCTGCTGCTGCTGCTGATGATGATGATCAGCTGGAGACTCAGGAAGCTGAGCCTATAACAAAACAATCATTGCTTTACTTAAAAACATTCTCTTTAGGGATGCAACATGGATGGATCCATCCCATCAGCCATCATGATTATCACATTTCCAACTGACCTTTAAAGCACCTTAAAGGAAGAAAGAGATTCTTTATGGATTTTAGGATGTTTCCTGGATAAAAAGCAGCACAAAGAATAGAACTATACTTTAACTTCAAAAGTTACACAAATGTAGAGAACAGCTGAAGCTTTCCAATACAAAACTCTAACATATAAACATGTATAGATTAGCATGTGTTGCACAATGTATATGTCATAAGGTATGTTTTGGTTAAACTGTGTGAGGTGGGCTGCACCTATATGCTCTGTCCCCAAAAGGATTATGGGCAACTAAATTCAATTCAGTTTATTTCTATAGCGCTAATTCACAACAAAAGCCATCTTAAGGCACTTTAAAGTTTACTACATCCTCCAGTCAGATTGATTCAATGTTTTCTATCTAAGAAAAACCAGTTGATTGCATTGCCTCAAAGGCTCAGTGTGAGCGGCCATCTGCTGAGGCCGACTGGGGTTCAAGGAGACAGAACCCCAGTGGGCCTCAGCAGATGGCCGCTCTCACTGAGCCTGGTTCTGCTGGAGGTTTCTTCCTGTTAAAAGGGAGTTTTTCCTCTCCACTGTCGCTACAAGCATGCTTAGTGTGAGGGATTGCTGAAGAGTCAATGAGTCGATGCAATCAGCTGGTTTTCCTTAGATAGAAAACTTTGTATCACTCTGACTGGATGATCTGGTGAACCTTCTTTTTGCTTAGAAAACATGCAAACTGAACCAGACAAACTGAGAATCTTTACCAGCTTCATACAGTAATCAAGTAAATACACTTTGTTACTTTCTACCACTGGCCATGAGAAACATGAGCAGTTCACAGATCAGGTAAAAATAGAGTCAAAATAAGATCTTAATTCATTGCTAACATACGGTAAAGATTGGGAAGTTGTGGTAAAAAAAAAATTTCTTATGAACAAATGTATTTTTTTACTTTATTTTCTACCTTGAATTGCAGCTAACCAAACATTAAATCAGATATTATGACCCACTCAGTGCTTCAACAAACATTTGACTGATTAGTTTCTAACTCTTCAGTAACTCCTTGAATTACTATTTTCCACTTTTACTTGAGTAAAGAAAAGGTAAAGTAGTGACACTACTGGTATTACTCCTAGCAGCAGCTAGTGATGTCAGGATGTCTCTATGCTAACTGCATTGGCACCAGATAGCATCCTGTCTAACTACCAGCACTATTAGGATGCCACTTATTATGGCTACTGCAGACAAAATCCCTCTGTGACTCAAGTGTCCTTACTGATTTGAGGTATTCGGATCAAGCCATGGTCCTTCTGAAGGGCAAGTGTTCAGAAGAAGGTCCAATGCCTCCAGTATTCAGTCAGACTTCGGACAGGAAGGGTCCAAACTGCAACGATCATCTGCAGGGAGGATCATCAGGGCTGATGTTCCCTCCGTCAGTGACCGCTCAGGTAAACAGCAGTCATTTCCAGACCAGAGAAACCATTAAGACTTCCACCTTGATGCGCCAGAGGCAGGATGTTTACCTGGATGAACGCTTGGTAGTGATACCATGTATCTTCATCTTCCGTTCAAAAACTTCTATAGAACATATTTCTGTTACCTTGACTGTTAATATTTCTAACATCCATATAGCGTGTTTGCCCTACATTTAAACTAAGGAACAACTGTTCAACCCCTTGAGTCCGGCGGGCCCAACAGGACCCAACTGACACCTGCTCATGTTTATTTATTACTGGAAATGGCTAAAACAGTCACATGATGTTTTATCCACACGCCTTACAAATGGAGCTTATAGATTTCTAAAACATTTTTTCACAAGTGCTTTTTGTTTTACAGCTTGTAAACAAATAAAATGAGATTTAAAATTCCACCAGACGTGTGACTCTGCGGGAGAAATGCAACAGCAGGTATTTATTTTTAGCCCCGCCCCCTAATGGCCACCATCATTCGAAACTGGAGGCTCAGACCTTTCCAAGGAGGGGTCAGAGGTCATTGTGTTACTATTTCAGGTGATGCGTTACATTAGCTTCCTCTGTTATTCTTATTTTCTATCCAGTTTTGTGATATTATTGGTAAATTTCAATGAAACAGCAGCTAAATCTGAGGAGCAAAGGTCTCCAATAATGTAAGTCAGCATATTTGTCTGACCTGATT